TTGTTCTATGTTGCAGATTTTCAGAACACAACTGATGGCATTATTGTCTGAACATCTGCCTTAAATGTTTTACAAAACTGCATTATAAGGTGGGCTATATCCCACAATGAACAATTTGGACACATAACTGCTCTGATGTCTCATTAAACATGGGCAATATTAAAGAAGTATTCTCTTCTCCATTTTTATAAATTAACACATTCTGTACAGAGCACACATCTTAGACAAATTACCTCCTTTCCCATTCGGTCCAGAGTCCTCCAGAGGTTGTTGTAATCCAGGTAGACGATGGGGTTCCATGCTGGAGGAAATGGCCCTCGAAATGGATACGTCTTACCCTGATGAAAAAGAAGGATTCTGGGTGAAGCTAACTAGGGTGGACTAATTATTTTGTTTAATAAAACTTGTAGTCCTAGCCTCAAAGTTTGTAATATTACTTTTTGGCACAGTCCCCTTTGACTTCAAGGCTTATGTCTCATTCCCATTCTGAAAGCGAAGTAACACTCTTCAGACTTTTCATAATTTCAGGCTTGCTCTGCCTATAAATTCACACCATGAAAGTAAGTATTGAGGTTTTGCAACAGATAATCATCACTTAGTCAGGAGAACACACGGTAGTTACTCATTCTGCAAGATGATGATTTATGTGGGATAGAGCAGTAAACTGGTATACAGTGCCTTGCACATTTTTCACATTTTGTTACTTTCAAGCTTGCAGCCATGACACTTTGGCTACTAGAAGCACACAAGATTAATAAGTCCCCAGTGTACAATGGTATCTTACCAACTGTACTCAAAGAAATGAGAGATGTTATTCAGAAGCCATTAAGACAAGACAAGTGTAGTACCCAGGGTCTGAAAAATTGCTAATATAGTCCCCATCCATAAAAAGGGTGACAAAACTGAAACAAGTAATTATAGACCAATAAATCTCACTTCTAATACATGCAAGATAAAGGAAAGTATTCTAAGAATTAAACTAGAGGATCATATATATGGAAATAATGTAGTAAGATGTAGTTAGCATAGGTTTAGAAAAGGTACGTCTTTCATGATCAACATAGTTCTTTTAACAAGCAAAAACAGTAATGGATTCACAATAGGGCAATTTCCCATTCACAAATGGGAAATTGCAGGCAGTAAGCATTCAGGGAAACATGAGTACAGTTTTTGGATTGAGAAATAAATAGAAAGAGTGTACAGATAAAGGGTGAATACTCACATTGGAGAGATGTGGAATGTGGAGTGTATTAGATCACAGGGATGATCTGTACTAGGACCACTGCTCTTTTTAATTTTTATCAATGATCTAGATTCCAGAATAGTAAACTAGTCACGTTAGCAGATTATACAAAATTAGGATCATTAGCTAACAATGTAAATGATACAAATTAAAGCTAACGTTAAATATTATTTAAAAATCTCATATCTTATGAAAAAGACTTCTGTGTTTATGTTGACACATTTACTGTCCATATCGAAGACAAAAAGGCAGACAAAATGACAGAATACAGTATATAGTTAAAAGCATAGAAGTTAAAACTGGGGATGTTATGGAAAAACTCAGCAACTCACTATTAAGGCCTCATTTAGAATGTTGTGAACTTTTTGGGTCACCACATTCTACAAAAAGCTGCTGCAGCGCTGGAATCAATCCACATAAAAGCAGCTACAGTAGATACAATGCATCGCTTAAGGGAATATCCCATACTGACAGGCTGAAAGAACTGAAACGTTTTAGTCTTGAGCAGAGAAGACTGCAAATGGACCTGATACAAAAATTCCAGATCTTCACAGGCATTGACTAAATTAATCCAGCAGATTTCTTCCAAATGAATTGTGAAAAACAAATCAGAAGGAATGGGTGCAAATGGCATGAAAGTGCATTTTGCCAGCAGCCATATCACCCTGCAACTCACAATTGGCAGCCCACAGAAGCGAAGCAGGTTTGAGCCTGGTCAGTACCTGGATTGGAGAACTCCTGGGAAAGATTAAGGCTGGTGCTGGAGGAGGTGTTAGTGGGGGCAGCAGAGTAATCTATGTGGGTCCTAATGTGCCAGTGTACTGACATAGACACTATACTGTAAAAAAAAGGCACCATCCTTTGGACGAGACGTAAAACCGAGGTCCTGACTTTCTGTGGTCATTACAAAATCCCAGAGTTTCATGAAAAGAGTAGGGGTGAAACTCTGGTGTCCTGGCCAAATTTCCCATTGGCCCTTACCAATCATGGCCTCCTAATAATCCCCATCTATGAACTGGCTTCATTACTCTGCTCTACTCCCCTCTGGTAGCTGATGTGTGGTGAGCATTCTGGCGCACTATGGCTGCTGTCACATTATCCAGGTAGATGCTTCACATTGGTGATGGTGGAGGGGAGTCCCCATTACCTGTAAAGTGCTTCAAGTGGAGTGTCCAGAAAAGCGTTATATAAGTTTAAGGAATTTTTATTATTATTTAGACAAAGAACAGGAGGGACTTCCTTAATCAACGGGTTGTAGGAGCCATGTTGTTCAAGATGATGCCCTGCTCTTTGAAGCCTTGGATCAATTAACCTCTAATTGCCAAACAAGCTAAATGGGCAAAATGATCTCCTCCTGTTTCTAACCGATTTTATGTTCAAAGTTCAACTGGACAAGGAGGAAACAAAAGGGGTCTCCGTGAGCTGCAGAGTTCAGTGCCTGGTCATTAAATATGGCTTGTGTGGAACTAGAAAAAAACAAATCTGCATAGGATTTAAAACAAAGCATCTAAGTGATAATGCAAACATGGCAAAATGTTTTGTCAGATGAGACAAAATTGGCCAAATAATGCTGAAGAACAGGACTTAATGCATTTTTATACAAAAATTCGTATTCTATATTCTGGTCGCTTGCAGATTAGAATGGCATATGTTTAGCAATAATATTATTTATGGTACCTGAAAGTTTCAGGTTGTTGCACAAAGCTAAGGTATGCGTATACGTGATCTGACAACTGGAATCAATTTCCTGTCGTTAAACTCTGTTTATTTTTAAACTCTGTTTCTCTAATGTCAAGTATGATGGTGGCAAAATATATCAATGTAAGTTTAAATTTTTTCTAAATATTAAATGTAAAAAAAGTATAATCATTATTTAGTAATTTCACAAAATGGGACAGCAGCAGAAAGGATTGAACACTTTTGCAAGCCATGTACAGTATACTTGCTTCATTAGTAATATTGAATGAATTTTCTACCTGTACAATTTTGTTTTGGATTTATTTATACCTGGACAGTAGCTGGCTGAATGTGAAAAAGCAGCAGCACAGTTTAGGTGTCAAGAGTCCTTGATCATATTAGCATTTGTGAGCCTTGTTTCTTGAGGAAAAGCCTCACTTTAGCAGTCATTACTCAGTTTAAAAGACAAATAGGGTGTGTGTTTCAGACTGAAAAAATCCATGGTAATACCAGCTTTCTGAATTTCCAGATTTGCTGTGCTAAGTAATTTTGAATGCCTTTTTAAATTAAAATGTTAACCCCCCCTTATACAGAGCAACAAAAATTGGGCAAATATTATTTAATTAATTTGCATTGGGCAAACATTCTTTAATTAATTGCATTATTGTAATACATGCTGAAAAGAGAAGAAAGAAAACACAATGTTTTGTTCGTGGAGCCTTCTTCAGGTGTGGGAAAGACAGGGCAGTAAGCAAAGGTAATGTAGCGAGAGAACAAAAGCTGGGAGAGAGGAGGAGCAAGGGGCGGGAGCAGGGGACAGAAAGAGAGGCCAATCAGGAGGTGTAAAGTCAGGATAGGTGAAGTGAGGTGTGAAATGAAACCTACAATGAATAGAGAGAATTTAAAAGAAAAGTAGTCTGTCGTTAAGAGAAGGGGGAAGGTGTGATCCTAGCTGCAGGATAATTTTGGTTTCTGTAGCCTTTCTGGTCATATCTACGTCCTTATCCTCATATACGGTCACATGCATTGGGTAGTAACCAAAAGAATGAGATCCCAGGTATAAGCAGCAGAAATGAGATTTCTCTGTAGAGCTATTGGTTTTACTCTCTGTGACAGGGTGAGGAGCACAGCGATCTAGGAGGACCTTGGCACAGAGTCAATGCTCCTCTGGATGAAGAAGAACCAGTTGAGATGGTTTGAGCATCTGGTGAAGATGTCTCCCAAGCATCTCCTGCTAGAGGTGGACATGGTACAGCCTCCTAGAGACCCGCAGGCAGACCCAGGACATGCCTGGGAATCCCTAAAGCAGCAGCTGGAAAAGACTAGTGTTCCCTGCTCAGCATGGTACCATCACAACGCTCAACAGGAGTAAGCGGGTAGAAAATGGTTGGATGGATAACGAGGAATAATAATGAGTTGTATTTATATGACACCCTTATACCAAAGGATGCAAAAGCATTTAACATAGAGGATGGGACCTGCCAAGAAGTTTAAGCACATCTTGCTAAGGCGTGTCAGTTATTTTGTGCCAGCAGCTCCTCTACATAGCAGATCAGATGGAGAAGTGAGACATCGCTTTTGAATTAATCAGAAACTTTACTGTAGGTAGTCCAGATTGTACAGACCCAAACTGGAATTTTGCCAGACCACCTGGGTTAACTTGTCTTTTGGATGAGAAGTTAAACCGAGGTCCTGACTCTTAGTGGTCATTAAAGATCCCTGGGCATTTCTCGATAAGAGTAGGGAGTTATCCTGGTGTCTGGGTCAAATTTCCCTCCTCGGCCTTTACCTTGGCCTCCAAACTGTCACCATGTATGATTGGCTTCCACTTGCCCAGCGATGGACTGGTGCCCCATACATTAAACAATGTTAATGAATTAATTCATACTACCAATTTACACTTAATAAAGCTTTTCATATTTGTTCATTAACAATAAGTACTTAACGTAAACCCATGTCACCTTTCTCAGGTTTTTAAGGCTTTAAAGGAAAAGGCAGAATTAAAAAATTAATGCATTTAGTGAAAAGAGAAGCTTGAATTTTGTTTTCTGGGATTTCTCTTGACCTTTTACATCAAGCAGCTTTTAGATTTTCAAGTCCTTACATTGTGCACAAAGAAGCACAACTAATTGAAGATGACAGGATGCCTTGAGGCTTTCCTGACTGGTAGGTATCCATAGCAACAGAGAAGAGCAGCAAGAAGATATATTGCATGATAACAGAAGAAATCCGCTATTACCACTAGAGTATTACAACTGAAAATAAGAATTGAAGTATCCATATAGGATACTGCATTCATTATAACAGCAAAATGAAGAACTGAACCTTGTAAACCAACCATTCTATTTTTGCATGTAAAGAAAGCAGCACTTGTGTTTGCCAAAAACAAAGCTAGTAGCCATAATTCCCCTTGTGTGGGTTTTTTTTTGTTAGACTAGAATTGCTAAAAACTCAAGACAGTGTCGATAACAAACCTTGCTATTTCAAGTCAAATTGGGCAAGCAGGCCAATTGTAAGACACACTGGTGAAACTTATGTAATTTATGAGAGGGAGGTGCACCCAGTTAAGGAACATATAGGACATATAGAAATTTATTTATTTCTGTTTACCAGCATATGACAGAATATTGTGTGAGAATATTATGTATAACTGCTTAATTTCTGGAAGCCTATTTACATATTCTCTGTCTAATATAAAAAACATTTACAGTTTTACATTAGTTCATAGATATAAATGTTAAAACATTTGGCTCACAAGTTAAGAACTCAAATAAAACTGTTGCACCTTCAATCAATTGATTGGTACTGTCCTTCTGAATATTTGTACAGAGAATAAAACACTGTAAGATACAATATATACTGTATTATGTTGAGAATACTATCAATATTGAATATATAGTATATTTAGTATCCTATCAACCTAGCAAATTACATTTAATGTAAAAAAAGAAAAAATGACAATTAGGAAATTATTTTTTCCTAAGATCTTATGTTAGAAAGAGCATTTAAATATAAAGCACGTTTAACAATAATTGTTTAACAAATATTCAGATAAGGATAAGCACTTTTTGTAAGCAATTAAAAAGTTACACCGGTAGTGCCTATACTGTCTATTCAATTAGAAACTGCCATTTCGGAACAGAATATGGAAGATTTTATAGCAGCATGGCATCTCCTGTTAATTAGAATTTATAGCATTTACACAGTGCTTTTCATCCCAAAGGGTACCAAAATGCTTTACTTACAGTACTGGACACATTCCATATATCAAGAAAGTGAAGCACCCGTGTAAATGATGTATGGCAGCTATTATATACCAAGGAGAAATTAGACATTGTTTAACTGAATAAACTAAGGTAAAACTATAGGTAAGATGGATGGTAAAAGCCCAGAATGGAAATCAACCAGGACAACAGAGTTCACACCTCTACTTTCTGCAGTGGCCTACTTACATTTGTAACCTGTCTCACATGGAATCTTTCATGATCCCAGTTTAGCACCTCTAACAAAAGCTGACTCCTACAGTCCAGAGTCCTTGGTCACCATAATGGGGCAATTACAAAAGAGTTGGTCAAGAATATCTATAACAATTTTTAAAGGTTACAATTCAGATTTAAATTTGGAATTAAATGCAAAGCAGTGACAGAAAACTAGTGTGCAGAGTTTCCCAGCAGTTTTATCATAAACCTTACCTTATAATAATGAATGAGTCGCTCTTTCTCGTTTACTAAATGAGTCTTCACCCCCAGTTCTTTTGCAAGTCTCAGAATGCTGTTCTGAGTTGGACCAACATAAGCACCTCCAAGATCCACATATTGGAATTCAGGCCCCTTTAAAAAAACGCAGTCATTTCAAATGGAGTTTTGCTCATAAGAAGATATTCTTGACCTATAATGTAACCAAACCTTTGTCTTGAAGGCAGATGTATGAGCCTTAAATTATTTAAAAGCAGCACTGCTAGCTTTTAGATATTGTATTAAAGATTATACTGTACATATTTTCCTGGTACAATATATAATATATTGTTAAAGTCTCCTCATACTGTACATACATCATCTCGAATACCAGGGTTGACAAGTTGAAAACAATTTTAAAAATCAGTACAAATTCCTACTATTATAAAATCAGATTTTCTGGAGAGACAATTTAAGACCAATTCAGAAACATACAGAGTGCCTTCACAAGCCGAGGAATATAACTATACATTACTTCAAACTACAGTAAGTCTTCAATAAACTTATTTAGGTGACTTTTCAACATGTGCTTTTCTATTAGAAGTATTTGACCCAGGTTATGACTTAGTTTGAATCGAGGCTGTGGCAGAGATTCCAATGTACAACAGATTTTGCAAAATGCTGGAGCTGCCAGGAGTATCCATGTCATCGTTACACAGCCCTGGCAATGGCAGAACCTGTGGACATCAGTAAGAGTACTGCCCAGTCTCCAGGGGACAATTAACTTCTTCCATTTAATTTATAAACTACAGTCAGAATGTAACAATTAACCAGTAGCACTTTAGTTTCTTTAGTTTATAACTGAATGAATAGTCAATTAACATGATATTAACAAACAAATAGAGGTTACTGCCCTGGTGAAAAGTAGAAAGAAAGAATCACACATCACTTCTTGTCTATTTCTGATTTCAGTGAGCGTACTGTATGTCCTTAAGGCTAGGGGTATTCTATGTGTGTATATACTCACTTTTACAGTCAACGTTCTCCCACCCACACGATCACGTGCTTCCAGAACCAGGACATTCAATCCAGACTCTTTCAGCAGTTTAGCAGCAGACAAGCCTAAAAATAATTCATCATCTGAGTGTAGCTGGCACCAACAATGAGCTAGAGATGGTAAATTTCAAAAAGTAAACTTTAATAAAAGGCTTGTTCTACATTGCCATTGGTCAATGGATAGAAAACCTAGTATATACTAAATAAAGAGTGAATGTTCCAACTTAGGTGATATACGGTAATTAGTGGGCTTCCACAAGGAACAGTATGGATTATTTCGATTCTGGCAAATCCGTTCAAGCAATGGAACGGAAAAAAATATGGATTAAAAATCCTGAAATTGAGGAAACCCTTAATCAGAATTAATGGTGGAACACAAACCAGAGAGCACAAGGGGACCTTACAGGAAGGCGCCTTTAAAACAAAACACTCAGTCATGCTATTGAAGCTGATCCCCTGACTGAAAAAAAAAACGTACTGGATGAGATCCTTAGATCAATTATGTGCTAACAACCGAATGAGTTAGATGTGCCAAATGGCCTCCTTACATTTGTAGTCTGTTTTTTGGAGGCCTTAGGGTAAAAATTAGTAGATGACTAATGTCTTTTGGGTACATGTGACTCCCATTTGAATGTAATAAAAGGTAGCAGTGGTGTCTGGCAGGGATTTTATTATGATCTTAGCAATTTCCATGTTAACTTAATCAAAATCAATGACTGAAAGAATATTTATAAAATACATTTTGGCTGTAGTCTTTGCTGTTCATTTGTGTAATGTTTTCAACATACTGAAAAACATCTGCTGATTATTTTTGATCTGAAAAAGATTATATAAACAATCGTGAAAAGGTGTCAGGTGAGGAGTCTGCACATTTAACCAGGGCAAATCATGCCAGGTTGAATAGGATATCAATCTATCCATTTTCTAACTGTGTCTTTAATTTCAGGATCACAGGGAAGCCAGAGCCTATCCCAGGCACTAGGCAGGGGCATACAGATACAAACACAAACATGCACACACTCACACCAGGGCCAGCTTTCCCAGAAGCCAGTTCACCTACCAGTATGCTGTTGGACTATGGGAGGAAAACAGAGCACCTGGAAGAAACAAGTGGATAACACACAGCACCCCAGGGCCAGAATTGAACCTAGGACCCCAGCACTACAAGGCTGCAAGCACTAATCACTGTGCCACTGTACCACCTGCTAAACAGCATATATTATTTCAATTGAAACTGGCCAATTGTGTAAGTGTTCTTTCAGATTATGAAGTCATTTACCAGTCCACGTGAGAGATCATAAAAAATCTGTCAATTTGAAGGTCATTTTATGAAAACTAGAAACACATGTTCACTTATTTCCTCTATTCATGTATTTTTGCCTCAATATTATTTTTTGTTAGGTAGGCCTTAAGGGTCTACTTTTGGATTTATTTATATTTAAAATACTCCTTGCTGTGTCAGATTCATTTTTAATCACACAACCCCATCTCTTTCCTCCCTCTATAAACAGCTTTGGATTACAAATAACCTATGGAAATAACCCATGTAACATGCATGTGTTAAATGTTAAAACCTTATAGCACTTATCTCTGAATGTCCTGACATTTAATTTATCACCTGCTTAGATTTTTTTAAATGTTATTTCTTTTGCAAGTTACAACTTACACTGCATCCCAGAAAATATGTCAGGTTAAAGAGTGGCTTAACCATTTCCCTGTTAACGAAACCATATTTTGTTAGCCCTAATATATTTTCTGTTTCATAAAATCTAAATAACTTTGAATTAATGAACATTTTCCTTTTTGCTTTAATAAAGCTTTGCCTATTTTGGCTGTAAATGATTGTAGGCAGTTTCTCTTTTTCCATTTCTCAATGTCTGCTTGTCCTCTGTTGATTTTCTTCTATACATGTGTGTGTACTACTGATATATCATTCAATAAAGGCATAATGGAGGACTGTCTTTCAGGAAATTGTTCTTTCACTACTCAAACAATGAAAACAAGCTGGTGACTCAGCGAGAATATTAAAAAGGGGAGATGAAAAACTGAGCTGTGGGTTCCTATGGCAACTTCAAGAAGGTGTTTCCAGATAGTGATTTTAAAAAGAATTTGTTTCCAATGTTGTGTTTGGCTTTACTGCTTTTTTTCCCCTATATTAAGGTTCAGGAAGTTCAGAGCCCCAGTGGACAACCTTGGTTTTTTCTTTTTTTTTGTTTGTTCTGGATGTTCTTTTCTGTTTATTGAACATTTAAGATGTCCTTTTTAAGGGCTCTGTTGTCTGGTTCTATTTTTTATTAAAACAAATGGTGGAATATTGAGCCTATATTTCTTAACTGTTTGAAGAAATGGTGCTACGGAAAGCCACTCCTTTGACAGCATTTAATTTGTTTACATAGAGGTCAATCTTATAACCAAATATTAAGGTGTCTTTGTCTCAATCTTACCTTTTTGTTACAAAAAGGTCAATCTTACAACCAAATATTAAGGCGTCTTTGATGCCATGGGCAAACAGTTCAACATAATTTAATACTATACCAAAACACACTGAACACAAAATTATCAAAACACATACTTGATACAAACGTAGGAATTCACAGCTGGAGAATTCTATTGTCATCAATACATCAGCAAAATACAATTTTGATAAGACTTCTAAATTAACTTTAAAATTCAACAAAAACCTTAGGAAAAAGCTAGTCTGTGCACATAAAATTAAAAAAAGCAATGAGAACCTATTCTCACAGTAAAGAGTCTACCTAGTTCTTTAGCTCATCTGTTTTCATTTATTGCTAATCTTTAAACTGTGTGTGGTGAACAAAAAATGAATGCGTGTAATACTATTTAGCAAAGGCTGAAAACAAATTACCCCGAGTCGTTACCAGCTTCATATAATGTCTAAAAACCATACCTATCCTATTTGATTAACTCATTTTTAAGCAACCCTTGAAATAGGAAGGTACAGTATATTCATTTATTGTAATACAGAATTTATAAATCATGAATAATACAGACAGCAAGGGCAGCACCGATACGGTGCATTGCTACCTCGCAGCACTGGGGCCCTTGGCTCAAACTGGAAATCAGGGGTGCTTTAAGCATGGAGTTGCTTTGTTCTTCCCATGTTCATATGGAGTTACGCTAGGAGCTCCGATTTCCTCCCACAGTCCAAAGACATACTGGCAGGTTAAATGGCCTGGGTATGAGTGTGTATGTGTCCGTTTTTATGTCTGTGTGTGCTCTGTGATGGACTAGCATCCCTTCAGGTTGTATTCTGCCTTATGCCAGTTGCTTGAGGGGACAGGCACCGGCTTCCTCATGACCCTGAACTGGATAAAGTGGTTAGAAAATGGATGAATTGAAAATACAGCAGATAGCAACACTGTGATGACTTGTCATATGCAGCTTAATATAGACAAGATGTATGTTGAGAACTTGGAAGAAGATGATGTTGTTGGCCTGAACATCACCATATGCAAACTGCAAGTGCTGACAACAAAAACATACAGTTTTATGTTGATGACATTAACTAAAGTATTAGCATCACTGACTTAGTTTTTTTATAGTCCCAATAATTATTTTTACATTTGACCATGGCTAATGTTAATCTGAACAATCCTTTTTTGCCAATTCTAAGAGACGTAACAGGGTATTTTCTTACATCAAGCTAGATGCTAAATGTCAACATTGTGTTGAGTATAGACCTTATTGTCCATTGTGTGTACTTTCTAAATTTCTAAGATCAACTGTTGTGTATCAAATGTGTATTTTCCCTTTGTTTTCATTCTGTCTTTCATAGCAGTTTTTCTCCAACTTATACTCAAAATAAAATGCAGTTTCAGTCTTATCACAGAAAGTGTAAGACATTTCTATAGATGCAATGTTAACTTACATTGTGATTTCTAAATGCTAAAGTCAATATCAATCATTTCTATTCTATTAGCATAACTACTGTCAACATCATAGTATACAGTTATTAACTGGAAAGCAATAGAATAGTAGCTGATTTTATCTGCAGTTTATTTTTTTAAATTAAGGTTTTTTAAAGCAAGGGGCATGGTGTTCTATGACCTTACTGTTACGCATTACATTCTAGTATCCTTTTATTTACTTTGAAGCAAATAGTAAACATAACATCAACAAAGATCAAGTGCAGTGTTCTATGGAAAATACGACAAAGTAGTCTACAAAGTCAACAAACGATACCTTACCAGATAAACCACCCCCAATGACAATTACATCTTTCTTCTCAATTTCGGGTTTCTGCCCTTTGTCCATGTCTGCGGTTTAAATGTTTGCTCAGAAAGCAGTAGAGAGAGCACTGCAGAAGCCTACAGGTTTGTACAGATCTGTCTCTTCCAGTGGCTGAGCCACTTTATCAGTGTGCTGCTTCTGTAAAGGAGGAGCTAAGCCCATCTCTCACCAGACTGGGATGGCAAGGTGATATCTGATGTTCAGTACCCGTTCTTAATGGCAACTTCATCTGAAAAGACCTTTTCTATTATACACAGCTGTATGTATATATAATCTAATGTATAGACAGAGCGATTTATCAGGATCTTTGAGGTTTCATAGTGAAAAGTATACTAAATAATTTAAATTCTGTACAGTATTTACAGTCACATACCACCCTTTACAAAGTAATTAGCAGTTATTTTCTTCACTAGATCCCAATTTAGCAAATGTACTCATTGTCCTCTGAGGAAAGGAAGCTTTTTTCCATCATACTTTCCCATTATTATATTAGCTATTGTTGTTGTTAAGTATTACAAATATCAACATTATGTTGAAAATACTATTGTGAATATGTATCCTTTAAAAACAGGTAAAAATAAATCTGCAACCATGAACAGCATTCACATCAATTGGTCAGCAGCCTCTGGAATTACTGATCAGCATCATCTGTAAACTGTTCTTGAGGAACTGATGAAAAACACTAATTTGAGTTATGAAGTGAAAAGCAGCATACTTATTCCATATATACCCAACTTTAAGGGACACACATAATCTGACAAAAATAAGCACAGAAAACATAGAACAGTATTTGATAATCTTTCTCCTATTTTCTTTACTGCAGCATTTCATGAAAACAAACTGTTTCACTTCAACCTCACGCCTCACGCCGAATTTTGCAGGCTTTAGAAATGTAAACTACTTTTTCTTATACACAAACTTAAAAGTTACTGATTACATATTTTATTAACTAGTATTTTAATTTGACTTTCAAGGACCTTTTCAATTCTACTAACAATATAGTGCTCTTAACACAAAAAAATAAGATTAAAGCCTTGTTTTGTTTCCATAGAGTTTCACTAAATTATGATGCAACAAGAACTTTATTTGAAGATCAATGTGCCGTTAAGATGCCTGACTACTGATGTAATCTAAAACATTAAAATACCTGTGTAAGTCATTTATAAACAGGACACACCACTATGATTCCTAGACACTGTCTTAAAAACAGAAATTCAAGTCTAAGTTGGTATTCTGATCAAAACAAAATAATCTACTCAGTGTACCAAAACCAATAAATTCAGGTAAATAAATAAAGAAATAAAACATCCCTGACTACAATTACCCTCCATTCCAATACACACATGCTTTAAATCACAATAACTTCTACATTTGACAGAAGAATGTCAGTATATGAACAAGTCGTATAGAACAATTTGCCTTCAGCATAATAAGTTACCAAATGGTATATTTACAAAATAGATATTATATGCAATAACCACTCTGTGTGAAATTCCACACAAGAGGTCATCTGTTACATTACATTTTCATTTAAAGTATAGTTCTCCTCCCTTCAACATCAGTTATCTGTAAGAGAGGCTACTGTTTTCTCTTCTCTATTTGTTCTCTACAGGGGGTTACAGCAAATTAGTTTTTATCTGGTTTAGGGTTCCACTTTTGTTTCTAATCCATTATGAAGTTCAAGCCACGAAGCCACAAAGATTAATATAAAAAGAGCTGTTGAAATCAAATTTTTGTTTAAAGATCACATTATTCTCTGAAAAATATTTTATTTTTAAATTCCCAAGAGTCAGAAACTCTTTATCAGTGAATAAAACATACACTGTATCCTGAACCAATATCAGATCTCTTGTACATTCTATTACCTGCTGCTTTTACCACTAATACAGTATTTGTGTTCAACACTTTCAATTTAATTTATATGATATGTCCTGAGAAAAAACTATGCAATGGAACTGTCCCATGCATTAAAAAAGCAGAATAGTTTTTTTTTCTCACTATATATATAACCAATTGTTAATATAAACATCTTTTACAAGACAGTTCATGTCTGCACTATGTTGATAGTCATGGCTAGGCAGTAAACTTTGGTTGTGGAAGAAAAACCTAGATCTTTTCAGCTCAAATTATACAACTGGACTGCCATAACAGAGTCTTAGTATTAAATGTCTCAATACACCATGAACTGAGTAGGGCATTTGATTAAAAATGGGCCTGGTCCTAAAGAAAGCAAATTTCTCTCCTCTAGATTGGAATTGAGGATCCCATAAAATAAGACCGACAGTCTGAAATATGCTTATTATCTTCTAAAGATTTCAGAGTACAGCATCTCTAGATTTTCTGATAGTAGATGAAACAATGAAAGTATCTTAGAATGTTTGATTGGATTAGGTGGCAGAAAACACTGGCAGGAGTGCTGGGACATACAGGACTTCTCTCCTCTTCTCTAAAGGGCAGCCAGCTCTTGTGTTAGCCTCTCTTTCTCCTGTTGCAGCTCCACAATGCTCTGCTTGTTCTGTTCCAGTCGATCTTCCAGCCACTGCAGCAGTGGCCCGCTGATGGCAGACATCTGGCTGCACAGATTCTTTGTGAAAACTGGATCATGTTCCACAAACACCAAAGGGTTACGAACAACAACAAGAAAAAACAAAACAAAATCAATTAAATAAAAACAAAATCAGGAGAGATCCTAATAAAATAGGCAGTGAGGTGGTACTGTTATTCTCTTGTTTTATGCAAGTGAGCAGGTGGATATGTGTTTTTTGGCAGTTATCAATCAAACAGTACTGTTAACTCAACAATAGAAAAATATTGCCATTGAGGGCTACCTCTACATTGACTAAAAGCAACTTGTTAAAAACGTACTACTGGAGAATCTCCAAACAAGGCAAACAAGGTTCTCCTAATGTCATGAATAGCTTTAAGAATGACAGACATTACTATACTCAGTGGGAGCGGAAAACAGTCCCCCTGCATTTATCTGCACTAAACAATCAACTCCCTTGCTTTCAGTTTATTTAACAGTTTATGATCAGCTTCTACAAAAAAAAACTATCGATAAGTGTTAAGTTTTCGATAACTTAACACTTTTAGTCTTTTAGCAACAGACTGCTCCAGCTACGGTGTTCGTTTCCGCAGGTCTTTCCTCCCAGCGGCTGTCAGGGTGTATAACGCTGCCCTAGGCTAGGACTGTTAGCCCTTCATTTGCTCGTCTATGGACAGCATGTTGCTCCATTGTACTGTTTTTTTTGGACACTCAATCTGTATATACCTATGCACATTTTGCACATATTTTATTGTTTTTACAGTGACTATGAGCATATTTTGCACACACTGATGTTTTTTTTTAGTTTTATTTATTTATTTTATATTTGTTTCGTATTTTAATTTTTCGTCTATTGTGATGTTTGTTTGTTTTTTTGCTTGTCTTGGGCTGGACTGCTGTAACACATTAATTTACCTTCAGGATCAATAAAGTCTTATCTATCTAAGAGATAAATGCCAGAATTCATATAATAGGAATAAAAACCACAAGAAGATCCTTTAATCAAGAATCATTCTGTAAAAGATTAAAGTATTCAAGAGAAAGTATATTATAAGAGGAACATATTACCTGATCCATTGTGTATTTTCGTGATCGGGTCCAAGTGCGTTAAGCTGAAATGTGAAAAAGTTAGCAGATGAATGAAACGAACACACCACTTTATAGTACTGTAGCTGTCTTATTTAAATACACTGATAAACATGTTTAAGTACACTCCCCCTTAATGATGCTGTTCCATATGTTGATCAGCTTAATAAATAAATCAGATCACATTTGATGTTTTACATAAAAAAACTCACCTCAGATGACATCTTTGCAGTTTTTCATCTTGTACAACTAACGTTATTGAAGTAACTACCTATACAGTTCAACACTGATCAAAGTAACCTCTCAGAATATAATGCAAAATACACTTTAATAAATAAAAATAAAACATAAAAAACAGTATCAAGAATTTAATTATACTAATGAGGCAAAAAAATAATTTCCTTAGGCATTTTTGTCTTGTTTTATATGTAAATTAGAAACACTGTACACACCATATTGTGACAGGATTGTTATTATTTAAATACAGCATTATATAATCCTGTAAACATGTTGTCTTAGTCACTTGGCAATAGAAGCCCATGAGTAATTACATCTTGAGACCAGAACAAACAGATCTGAAGCACTTGTCTCTCAGTGTGAATATTCTGCTCACAAACAGACTTTGTTTATGAGCCGCTCAAGGCAGGCACAGTAATTCCATTTGTGTCAATTCCTAATTGAGTTATTCAAGTCTTACCATCCATGTAGCCCTGCAATCCATCCAGCAGCAGCTTTTCAAATTGAATCAGCCTTGACAAAGTATACATAGATACAGAATGCCACTGGAAATTTTGTTTCCGATGACATTGAAGGGCTAGTTCTACACTGTGCCTAAAGTACACTTTGGATCTTGGAAGTGTTAACATCCAGGGACTTTGTGCTGGTTCTAACTCAAGATAAGTTTCATAAACAGATTCCCTCTCTGTTTAAAACCATTTGTTAAAGTATTAAGACCTTTTTAAACATGGAACTGTCAATAATGCGGAACCAAATGTTGTCTTATTTATAGTTCATGAGGCGTGCAGTTGTGATTGAACACATTTGTGTTCTGTACCAAAACCATTAGAAAGGGTGCAGCACAACTTTCCAATCATCAGAAGAGGACAAAAGATACAATGGGTTCCTCCATACATCTAAAACACTTTCAAGCAGGTCCTGACATACTTTTTGAATTCATAAAAAGATGCAAAGGAAAATGGGGAAACATGGCAAAGCAGAGAATGAACAGAAGCAGGCATACCTGTGGATTCTCCTGTATGTATCCTGTTCTTCCTGACAAAGTATTTTGGGAAGTTCTACAGCTGACTCCAGACACACCTTTCCAATGGCTTCATGAGGAACTACATGGATAGGGATTTCAATTCTCTCGTACCTTATTAAGAGAACACACAACAGTTCCTGTAAATACTTTTCACACATGCTAACTTACTGAGGTTTAATTAGAATAAATTGATTCTGTCAAAGGGCAGAAAAATAGTATTAGATAAAATACACTAAATGAACTTTTAGAAAAAAGCTTTACCTTTTGTGCTTTTGTAGCTCTAATTCTGGAACATGCAGAGGCACAATTATAGTCCATACCTTACTAATTGTAAGAATGACTTCACAAAGGACAGTGCACTTACTCTGAGCCTTTCTGTGCTTGCACAGACTGGAAGCAGGTATACAGAACTCTCCCTGTCTGCAAAAGATCAGTAAGGTTAGAATCCCTATCACAATACCAGATGTTTTTCCCATTAGCAATACAATATATCTTCAATCGAGGGACTGAAGCTTTGTGAAAACATGAAATTGTGAGGGAATAAATCAGTTTTTACACAAAACATGTTCCAGTTGAAAGATATAAAAAAACCAGCATTAAAAGATCATTAAAAAAAACAGAAGAGCATACTTAAAAAACATTACTGCTTACTAAACTGACTGGTTCCTGTGCCTAAACTGTGCTGCTTACCTTTGTGTTCTTATCCTCAATGAAGCAAGAGAATATCAACCCAACAAAGCCCTGATCCATCATCTGGTACATTGCCTGAGTTCTTACATCTGAGGGTAAAGATTTTGCAGTGTTATCTTCACCAGTAATAGTCTGGCTTTATTATAATTACAGGAGAAAACTTCATTAGCATTAACAATTTGAACCCATTGTCATTTTATGTTTTTTGAGCAGCATTCCTAGAGGACAGGCAAAATATACTGTTATGGATAACATCTGTTTCAGACCTGATCGGTCTTTCTTCTTGGGATGTTAACAAAGTGCCTGAGAGGGCATTGTTTGTGTCTTTAAAAACAATTAATGCAGAGAAATATTACAGAAATACACATATCTAAATTTTTTTTTACAGACAACCACAGATAAAATAATATTAAAAACACTTTCATTCAGACAAATAATGACAGTTTCACTGCTCAGTTGATGATAATGTTTCACTGTTCAGTTTGATGCTTTCAAAAAACTTTGGTAACTTATACTGCTCCAAATTTCAGAGAAAGATTGATTAAATTGATCTAACATTGATTACAATTTCCCACTCTCAGTAAGTCATAATGGGTAGAAGTACACATCTTACCAACATGTGAGGGCCACACAGTGATGTGAGGATGAGAATGGTACCAACCCACAACCCTCATGGGCCGACCAGTCATTTCAGCCAATCTGTGAACCTCATTAAGAAATTAAAAAAATAAACTTTGTGCATAAATATACATTGAAGTAGTTCAGGTGGGTAGCTGCGTCAGCATGCGTAGGCTGCAAAGGAACAAGTAATAGGTTTATTCCATGCTGAAAAGACAAAAAAGAAAACAACGTTTCGGCCGTAGAGCCTTCTTCAGGTGTGAGCAACCTTTGTGTTTTCTTTCTTCTCTTTTCAGCATGGAATAAAACTATTACTTGTTCCTTTGCATAAATATACACTGACATTTAATAATAATGAATTAGTAACATAGCGATATTTTGTTTTAAGGTCTCAACATAATTAGGTATAGCTATGTTTTTTTAAAAGGTTATTTTGTAAAAAATATTTAACTTAAATGCTTTGGGGAATGTTTATACTATCTATTCCAGGCTTCTATCAACGACATTTCCAAGTATTAAATATCCTTACTGCAATTTGTGAGTTTCCAGTCTTTAAGGTTTTGTATGTATCTGGTACTTTTATGTACCAGATACATATGATTTCCAAATAAAGGTTTGTTTTCCCTTAACAAAACACAAAATAAAATGTGTGCCTGTGAAATCCACTCAAATTTCTATATTTTCATTTTTGCCACTGAGTCTACACGGACTGAAGTATGTCGGGAATGGGTAGCAATCGGCTTTGTCCTAGAAATATAAACTGTGGCGCTCAATTTTAAAAGATGGAGAGTCGTTTCAGGAAAACAGAAAGGTGAAACATGCAATGATTTAAAGCTCAAACACCAATTGGTTCCAAAACGTAAAGCCACAAATAGGTGTAGCGTTGTAGGAATTGGAAAACTTTTTGGTTAGTTTAACACTTATAAAATGGATATCTCGGCTTCAGTAGAGGCTGCAGAAAGCTGTTCTGGTGAGATCTCCACGCGGTCCTTCCTCTTGTCTGAGCGACGCAGGATGATCACGGAGTGAATGTGGACAATCCGGTTAGTATCTACCTGTACGAGACAATTTGTGTAGGTAGTTCAGCGATCTCTTGAAAGCCTTAAACTCCAATTCCCAAACTCTCGAAACTAACAATTTATTTATAAATGCTGACAAGAAAATAATGTCCTCACTACGTCCTAAACACTCTATGCTAAAGAGGCTTTATAATTTACTGTACATTGCTAGAAGACAAAGGCTAAAACAGTTCAATACTAGTTCGTAATAGTATAAGTATATATATATATTCGTATAAGTAATAGAAGTAATACATCACTTAAAATAAATTAGTTGTCTTCGTTAGAAACAAATATTAATTTTAGTCTATTGAGGGAGAATCTGGAGTAAACAGGAATCTAATTTACCTCTCCAATACAGAGTCCCATTACTTCTTCTTTTTCTGTACTTAAAGCATGATTCATGCAAACCAGAAAAGCGTCCGATTCCAGGTGAACTGCACTCACTGCCATTCTGACGTCTTAATGATGATTAGTTTAGTCTCTACAGTTATTTTACCACAAACACCAGAACACTTCCATAAACATTCTCAATTCCGTTCACTGAACAGTTCCGGCATCACAAAACATCCCCACCAAACATGGTTAACATGTTTTAGGAAAGACAAAGTTAAGGATCTTTAACTCTGTTGATGCTGAAACTAGTATTGAGCTAATATTTCCAGAAGATTAACACATTTTCACTCTAAAACTTTATCAGTATACAAGCAGATTTTTTACTCAAAGTCTTAAAGTCTTAAAGTCTTAAAGTCTTAATTTCAGTTTCGGTAGGTTTCCCGTCGAAGCCAAGTTGTGGGTGCACCGAATAAAAGTAAAAATAGTTTTGTATCGAGACGAGCAGATTCGACATCACATTACAAGATTTCTCTCAGGATTCATGAGGAGGACCTTTTGTGGATATTGTAAGTTATTTAAAAACGCACCTCTGCGACCTTATACATTCTAGAATAAATTTCAGGGGTGAATATTGCAGTTACATAATCAGAATTCCCAGAATGTGAATTATTTAGCAAAAAAACACTGCCCCGACATTATGGAATGCGTAGATTCCAACTTTAAACACTTTATACACAATTGATCTTGTTTCAATTATAATGCCTATTGTATGATCATATTTTTATAACAAACGATTATTTTAACGGATTCACAGTACTATATCTGTCACAGGTATAGTACTGTACTTCAAAATCCTGAAAATGTCGTCTTGGTAGCACGAAAGTGCTTCAGTAATAGTACCAGTAGTAATCGTACTAATACAGAACAGTCCTTCTCACTCTCGACCCGAGGTCTCTGTTCTGGTATATGCTGTAGTCGATTTCTTAATCGCACGCTTATTTATGTCAGTTTTCGGTTTGGGTTTTATTTTTAGATGCGAAAAGATTGAATGGGATTTGTATTTAGTATTAGCTCTACTAATGTCTGAGTTTCAGAACTGCCCCTTTTCATGTTTTGCCTGAAATATAACAAATTTAACCTCCATAGAAGGAAAGAACCTTATTTTAGGAATGCCTGATGTGCTGTCTTTCGAACCTGTCTCCGTACATTATAAATTAATCACTTAATAACAGCTGCAAGAAATAAGGAAAAGCAAGTTAAGGAGGGACTGCTTAATGTTCAGTTTACTGACGTTGTTAAAAACCGTACCTTTTATGCTACGTTTGAAACGTATGACGCAGTGCAAAACAATTAAGTCTGAACAAGCAAACATATCAATGTACCAGTTAGCTCCGGGGATTTAGAGCTAAGCTTTTCTGTTCTTTTTATTTCATGTAATGATTTCAGAAAAATTGTGGAAAATGGCTAAAAGGGTCTTATTTGCATTAATCTTTGTTCTTCTTATTTACACTAAACAGAAATTTCCACGACCATTGTTTTGGTTCCTATACAGTTATGTGCAATTTACAGTTTGTACATATTCAAAATAATAAAATAGTGAAATGCATATGCAAAAGTTTGGAGACTGTCAGTACTTAGTAACACTTTCATTGAAAGAAATTACAGCTTCCAGATGTTTCCTGTAGCCAGCTAAGAGTTATTATATTGCTTTTGCATTTTTTCCACTTTTCCTTGCAGAAGTCTTCTAGCTCAGAAATATTCTTAGGTCTTCTTGCATGCACTGCATGTTTGAGATCTCCTCACAGATTTTTAATATTCAAGTCTGGGGACCATGAAAGTTATTCCAAAACCTTAATCTGTCATTCTTGTAAGTAATTCATGGTTTACTTGGCGGTATGTTTTGGATAGTTGTCTGAAATATTCTACCTCTTTCCAGCTTGTATCCCTTCACCGAAAGGGACATGAACTTCTAGGATTTGCTGATATTTAGTTGACACCAATCTTCCTTCCTTCCATTCATTTTTTTTTTATCAGCCCACAGCACTTAAAAAACATTAATTTTTGTGATGAGATCAAAGGAAAGGATTCCTTCTGACAACTATCCTGTGCAGATCATATTTGTTTAAGGAACGCTTTACTGTGTACTTGTGGACAACTACTCCAGTGTCAGCTAAATATTTCTGACACTGGTCTTTTGCAGTGATCTCTGGGTTCTACTTTGTAGATCTGACCAGTATCCGAGCAGTTCTAGCAGAATTTTTTCTGGGTCTTCCAGATCTTGTCTTGACGTCAGGAGTTCTCTTTAATTTGAATGTCTTAATGATGTTTCTGACAGTTTAAATTGCAAGCTGGAAGCATTTAGATACCTTTTTATAGTCTTCCCCTGCTTTGTAACAGTGAATTATTTTATTTTCATGTCCTCTGACACCTACAGTACTTAGAGTAGCCCATGGTTACTGAAAACAGGCAGGACAACCAGAGAGGTTAGACGGGTCAGAGTATTTCAGAAGCAAATTGATCTACTAGTATGTTTTGGGACTGGGAAAGTAAACTGGAATACCTGGAAGAAACATACATGAACATTGGGAGAACATACAAACCCCATGCTGATAGGACCACAGGTCTAGAATTTAATCCAGGGCCCCAGTGCTTTGAGACATCAATGCTAACCATTGTGCCATTTTGCTGCCCCTGTTGGTATAGAATGATTTTATATTATTAAAGACTTAAATCATTAAAGTTGCCATTAACATCCACCCCACAACAATCTTTTCACACATACTATAGTTTTTTAAGATAATTGTAGTTGCTTGGAAGCCATCAAAACTGCTGTTGTTTAAATGCATGTCTGTTATTTATCAGAAAAGGAACAAAAATAAATAAATAAAGAGGAGTATTATTAAATAAATCCAAGACACTGAACATAATAATAGAAGTCCCTGTAAGCAAAAATTCTACAATTCAATAACTTTGGTTTTTATTCCAACAGTACTGTGGGATGTCCCAGAAAGATCCTTGCCAAAAGCAGGCATGTGAAATCCAAAGATGTTTACAAGGTAAAATGATCGTCAATCAAGTTCCAGTGACGAGAATTGTATTCCAAAAAGGTGTATTAAGTGCTGTTTGGTTTTTTTTTAAGTACTGCAGTGCTCAATTTGTTAGTTATCCCCATTTTCTGAAGACTTTCTTAAAGTTGATCATCACTGAATTAACCCAGTATTTTCAAATCAAATTTTGTTTTTCCAGCCAACAAATATATTGAGAGCAAGTGTGAAGATGTGATTGAAGCAATGAGGCAGTGCTGCAGGTTTCATGCTGGAGAGAAGTCTGTCTGCTGTTCAGGATTTGTGAAGGAACAGAAAGAGCAAGAGTCATGCAAATGATTATATTTACACAGGGAATATCTTGAAATACTGATTAAACTGTAAATGTATTATTTCAATAAAGTATTATACATGATATACATGTTGCTATTTGTAGGACAAATTACTTTTTAAAAACGCAATCAATTGGTTGGTTTGGATGGGCTCGAATTTAGTTGTGTAGATTATTCTGTGCTACTCCAAAACTTGAGTTGTGCTGCTAGGGCACCTGAGACCTTTCAGTGTAATTGGCGAGTTCTACAGCAAAAATGAGAAATGGCTCTCAGTTTATATTTCAGAATGTACAAACGGTGCTTATCCCTCCTGTACTTCCACAAGTTGATTATAAATGTCTTCAATACCCTTATGGTAGATACAAACTATCCTCTCTTGCATAAAACCCTGAATATTGAATGATGAAGGAAAGACACATGAAGAATCAGGTATTCACACAGCTGTATACAGGCACAAACAAATATGTGAACACTGACAAAACATACACAAATATCCATTCTGTTTTATAGTAACACTCCCACTGCAAGATCATTTGCCAGCCAGTAGCCAAAATGGTACATAATTACATTGTTCTGAAGCCTCACTCATTAGAAGTGAATCTCATAGTCTCATGCCTTTGTCTGAAAATCTCATGTATCAAGTCTATCTTGATTTTAAAGATCCAGTTTAGCGTGCTCTCACAAGGCACCAGTTCTGTAGGGGTTTGGGCATTTACTGGGACAATTATTAATTGTAGCAGTAAGTCACAAAATTATTCTTTTAATGGATTTAGAATCCAACCTTGCGGTATAACTCAAACAACCCACACACACTGGTACTAATACACAATAAGACATTTATTAATACATAAAATATGCATATAAACCTAACAGATCTTATCGAGAGGGTTATCAGAATACAAAAGGTATATATTCAATCAGTTACGAAGAGTTACACAAATCAAGAGGATATACGTTCAATATATCATTCATTTAGACCGTTTCGTAAATGAACTTGGTTATAACTTCTACATTAGATACCGAAAACAAGTACATAACTCTTAGGAATTAAATTGATATCAACTGGTTGGGATAACAATTGAATTCTCGAGCTGTAATGCAGTAAAGTTGAATACTCATCCAATCTCTGGGGATTCAGATCTTCTGTGGGAACACACTGATGCTCACTGACCAGCTAGTTAGTTTTGGCTGAAACTAGCAAGATTTTGTGCACAGGAGAAAAGATGACTGTGGGTCCCAGCAGGTCAGGAAGAGGACCGGATCGTTCCTGATGAAGCGCTAGTTCTGAATACTGATTCAGCTGTTGACAGTTCCGACCTGTTCACGAGGCTTGCTACTGATGCTAACCTCGGGTGGATCCTCTGGTTACTCTCTGGCAACCTCTGCTCTAGACTCTTAGAACAGAGGAAAATTCTGGTACTCGGACACACTGGCCGTTCCGTGGTTGTCCGGGCTGAATCTCAGGATGGTCAGGAGGCGCGCTGCAAGAATGTCCTGCCCTTGGGAGCCTTTCTGCTCCTGTGCCATCCTGCCCTGGAATTCGTTAGAATAGTCTCGCACCCCTGGAATTCTTCAGAAACTCTGTGTTGCCTGTTTTTACCTGGAGGAACTTCAGCTCGTTCATCGGCTGAAAGTTTCATGGGCATCAGAGACCCACGTGGGTTACTCGGCCCTACCAATCCCTGATTGGTTGATCAAGGTGAGATACGAGTCACTTACTCCTGACACTTAGGAATGCAGTCCAGATGTCCATCTGGTACTCCCTAGACAGATAGGCGCCAATGGATGACCATTGATCATGATAGCCAGGCTTAGCTGTGCATCCCCATTTGGGAGCTGTCCTTATCAAAAGAAAACATCTTTAAATCATAGCTTCTCTGTGGCTGCACCACAGAGATGAAGAGAGAGATGGGGCCTCATTTGGGAAAGCACAGCAACACTTAATTCTGTCTTATTAACAAGCATTGTCGCTACACCAGTAATGTGTGTAGATTTCTGAAATTGTTATAGAGACTCACCATTCCATTAATTGTTTTTAGTATGTTAAGAAAAGAAACTATCAATAAAAATAGTATGTAATCGCACTTTTCAACAGAAAATCTCATCTTAGGGTTTTGAACCATTGAAAGCTGTTGGTAAGACGTAGGAAAAAAACACATGCAGGGTTTCCTTGCAGCTGGATCATCTGGATCATCATGTTCCTTCCTCACCTACCACTTAATTTTCAAAGTGAAAACGAGTGCAAAATAAACAGAGCCTCACTAGCACAAAGAACATATATATAAAGAAAATAGCAGTCTTTCAAGCACAAAGTTCTTCCTCATTTAGTATTATTGGTAGCCTACTGTACATCTTTGATGAATCCCATATAACCAAATGTTATGTCCAAATACCATCTTACTCAGGATAATTTTGTTTAGTTGGTATGCAAGCTAGTACAGTAATATAACTGTTAAGTGGGAGGGGTTGAGGCTACCGTATGACCTGAGCTTTTTTCTAATTCTAATTAATTTTATCCTGGTTAAAACTATGGCCTAAGCTCAATGGCTACTGATAGTCGAACAATATGTTCAGGTCACATAATGATGAATATATTAGACTTCAAATTGCTAAATATTTAAGTTACAAGACTGCTTTTACTTGTCTTAATTCATTTTGCTCCTCTGTCATGAACAGAATGAAACAATATCAAGTGAAATGAACATAATCACACTTAGAAACTTCAAAGGCCCCCTTAGGCTTTATTTTCCCACAGTGGTGCATTTTTAAAACAAAATTACAACAGTGCATTTTTAATTTTCAAAAATGTTATGCTTCCAAAGTTAAAACATTTTGAAAATTCTTAGTCCCGTGTGGTACCGTTTTCATGGAGTGACCAATTTATTAGCCAGCACTTTTTTAAATAAATAACAGCCTTAAATACATTTTGGCACAAGCCCCATGAGCTCTCCTTCTAATCCAGAGCCTCTCCCAGACACATGGGGAGGAATAACAACATGGACGGGATACCACCCACTGCAGGCCACACATACACAAAAGCACACAGGGGCGATTTAGAGAGGCCAATTAAATCAGTTAGCAAGTCTTTGGAAGGTGACAGGAAACTAGAACCAGTCAAAACTCACGCAATTTTGGGCAGAACATGTGAACTTAATAGTGACGTACCAATGAGCCCTGAGGCAGCAGCTCTATCAAACCATGATGCCACTTTTACCATTACTTATACTACCTTCACATATTCACATAACACATATTTGTGCCAAGATATTACAGGATATCGATTTCATTCATCTTCACTCTAATACTTGGTTATAAGGTTCTTCTAATGACAGCAGCTTATTAAACCTTTTATTTTACCGAAAACAATGCAGCTGTAGTTTAAGTATCTTTAATGGTAGGTGGGCTCTGCATCTTCCATTAGGTATGACCATACTCATGTGTATCTGTTCAATGAGATATACATGATCACAAAGCACCCAATCTTTTTTTGTCTTCAAACTCTTAAGATATAAATGTGTATGATCTGCATTTTTCTAAATAAACAGATATAGTTTTAAGCAGAGAAAATGTTAACCTGGGATGAGCTTAGCATATCTAAGCTTTGTGTGTGTGTTCTTAAATAGTATGTCTCCATTTGTTGAGCTAAGTTTTATGAAAATATGCCTTTTCCATAGAGTGTTTCCAGATGAAGTGGTGACAAAGCATCAACTGGCTTGTTTGCTTGATTACTAGTAGCTTTTCTTAGATCACTTTGTAAGGCCACCTTAATATTAGTTATCTATAGGATCTCAGACACCTACAATATTGTAAATTCTTGCTGGTCCTGCACTGATCATTAATGCCAGCTTGCTGATTTACAGGAAAAGGTATGGGTTTATTATATCTATCAAGTTCAGTTCAAAAAGTTACTACACCACATCTGAACTTACCACCAAAACAGCCTAACAAAAACATGCAGAAATATGCTGGTCAAATGGGTTGATTTGTCATTGTGACTTTTTTGGTATTGCTGATGGTTTACTATCTAAATTTGTTTAACTAATGTGCAAAACACTTAATTAGCCATTTACATTTTTCAAAACATTTATGATTATGCTGAGATTTATAGATTCTGTTCACAATCATCCTGCAGTTCCATTCTAAAACAACAAAAAAAATAACATGTAACACGGTAAGCTAAATCAACTACTTAAAAAAACCTCCGCTATGTGTAAATTGGGCTAAAGCTTAAACAACAACCACATATCGCATGTTTTGTATTTGTTTCTTAAATGTTCAAAAGCATGTAATATACTGTACACCAAACCTCTGACCTACATTGGCAGGTTTAAATACAAATATAAAGCACTTAACTTAAAATATCGGCCTTTACTGAGAAGTTGCAGTCTTTACAACAGAAAAATATGTTGGTGACATCTCGGAAAAGGGGTTCCTAAGTGTTAAAAACTCCTAAGATGCCAGCCCAATCAAAAATCCTCCGGCGAATCCTCCAGTCAGTACTATGTTCTTCTTCACAAATGTCGTCACCTATCCAGGGAGAGGAGAGGAATGACATGGGCCATTAAAATATTTTTTGTGGAAATAAGAAAGAAAAACCTACCATTTTTCTGCCCCCCCCCCTTTGTTTTTGTTCATGATCCCAACATTAAAGCCTGTTAGTCTCATTATAACCCTTATCAGCAGGAGAGTAATGATGTTGATCCTCCACCCTCAATATACAGCCCCTTCTCCTTGGGAACCAGTATCTTTTAAAAAGGGTGGCCATAAGCAATTAATTAAAAGAAGCTGCTTAACCTTTTATAGGCAACCCCCACAAAAAAAAGACAAATTATATCTGGCAATTATAATGCCCAAAGCCAAATGCAAGAGTGGTTCAACTACAATTTGCAGTGACTCTTTAAAATTAAGTCTTAAATAATGCAATATGACATTATCAATTAAAGTGTTTTATCAGGGCCATATGCTATAATGCAGATATATATATATACACTGCACAAATGACATGTTACCTCATCCACTTTGGTTCGCACTTCTTTTGGAGGTTTTTCTGCATTAAGCTTCAGTTGTTTCTTGGCCTTGTTTACGTCCTGCTCAACTCTTTTCCAGTCTACTTTGATGTAGCCTGTGTGGTTAGCAATCTGAAAGGTAAATGTGTGAATTCAGCTGTCCTGCAAATAAACCAGTTCTGATCATTTCATTATTAATACACTTACTTAAATACACTTGATTCTGAGATGAACTGTAAAACAACGACAATCCATGAGCAGTTGAAATATAGTCCAAGGTGCCGTTTTTCAAATGTGGCCTCCAATGACTTGACTATCAGTGCTCAGGTAAATGTCAATAATTACAATTAGTCATGAGTAGGACAATTTGTCGTACTGGACATGAGGTTAATACATTTCCTTTCACAACTATGTTGATTGGTTGCACCTTTATTACTGCATTTCCTTGCAGCTGTTAGCAAATTTAAGTTAAAATCTTTTATGATGATGCCTTTGAGAATAGGATTTTCTAAGTGAATCCTATAGCTATATGAAAGTAATATCAATTAAACTGTACTCTATATAGTGTTGTTTCTAAGAATATAGGAATATTTAAAGTGAAAAAAAAACTCATCTTAACATAGCAAGGTACAATGCCAGCAGAGGGCGCTGTTGGTTTTAATTTTTGATCATGTGATTATTCGTAAGTGGAAAGTCTTATGGTGAGACAATGCTGCTAGAGCATTTAAAAAGTAAATGCTAATTATGAAACAAGATGTGTCTTAAAATTAGTTTATTTAAAATGCTGATTATTTCTAAATTTCTTCAATAACATACTTTTGTCCGTGTCTTTATGCTTTTATTTCTGCCACACTATGAGATCTGCAGACAAATTCTTTCAGCATAAAATATCCCTTTTCTGAAAAACATTTTATGAAACAAATAGAGGAGACAAAACACAGAAGTCTGGTACTGAAAAATAAATGCTAATTACCTGAAGTAGGAAGAATCCACCACCTACTGCAGAAGCTGCCAGTTTTCCTACTTTCTTAAAGAGAAAACCAGCACACCTAAAAGACATGGAAACACACAAAGCTGAATTACTGAAGCAAATCCCTGAATTATTCTCATTCTAGGCTTAATATTCGTCCATCACAATTATATGCTGGTGCATATTAAGTTAATCAATGTATTACTGACAGTGAGATAATGACATCTGGCACACAAACAGGACAATGCAAAATGTTTCCACAGACAACAACAGTGCATAATGGGCACTATATTAACTCAATGTCATCACCTTTATAATCCAGCTGTACTGAAGGATGGCTTAAATACAACTTCCAAATGACACTGTTGATGTAACAGTGGTCTTTGCATTGGGAAAATGTTCCTTGTGTGCCATTGTTTATATATACAAAATATCAAGGCTTTAGGGTGTACAGACTCCAAAAACCAGCCTTTATAAGCAAACTATTAAAGTCATTTTAAAATAAATCACTGTAGAAGGGCAGACATGAAACCAATCAGATCCAAGATACAGAATTGAGGATTCTTTCAAACTCAGTGGTTAAGATTGCTGCCTCTCAGTGATGAAGCCCTTTGTTCAGTTCTAGACCTGGGGTGCTGTCTGCATGCAGTTTTTATGTTCTCCCTGCACTTGCGTTTCCTCTGGGTGCCGAAGTTATAATCTAACTGGAAGGCTTATTGGCCTCTGTAAATTGTGAGTGTGTGAGGAGTTGTGTCTGTGTGTGCCTTGTGATGGACTAGCATCCTGTCTAGGGTGTACCCTGCCTTGTACCCACTGCTGCCAGGCTCCCTGTAACCTTGTACTGGGTAAAGCAGTTAGAAAATGGATGGATGGATGGATGGAAACAGGGTTTAAAACTTTGCACAGCGGTTTAACAAAACAGTGAATGAAGCCGTTCAGCAAGAATCACTCACCAGCCCGTCACTCCGCCAATGGCAAGCTGTGTGGCCACAGAGTATTTTTCGGCAATAGGTCCTGAGTTTTTTCCAAAAACCCGATTCCACCACCGCTGTCTCTTGGCATACTCTGCCAGGTCCATCACGTCAAAGGTTTCCTCACCCTTACCTGCAAACAGGAAACAACAAATTAGTAGCATCTTGTGCTGTTTCCACTTAGGTTTTTAATATCCCCCTACATTTTCTTCTGGCCAAAAAAGAAAGCAAATAACATTACAAGCTCAGTGAAAATGTATCCTTCATTTTTCTGTTAAATGAATTGCTTCACAAATGATTAATTGTGAAAAATACAAGCTATCATGATAGTGGTACAACGATGTTTTTTTGTTTAAAAGACAGTATAAACAAGAAGTGAAACAGTGGATCAGTAGTCAGCACTGCTGTCTCTCAGCACTGGGGTCTTGGGTTCAATTCCAGACCTAGAGTGCTATTTGCTTGGAGTTTCTATGTTCTCCTCTTGTTCATGTGGGTTTCTTCTCATTTTCGCTTCAGAGAAATTTGCCTTATTATTGATTAGGTGCCTATATATAGTATGTATATAACAAATAGCAGGCAGCACGGAAAATTCCGGACCCGAGACGCTGTCTCCATGGGTTTCTTCCCACAGTCCAAAGACATAGTGGTAGGTTAATGTGTTTCTGGGAAAGCTGGCCCTGGTGTGCGCGTGTCCATGTTTGTGTTTATGTCTATGTGTGTGTCCACAGCAATGAACAGGCATCCTGTCCAGGGTGTACCCTGACCTCTGCCCATTGTGGCCCAGGACAGATCCCTGGTGACTCTGTACTGGATAAAATGGATGAAGGGACAGAAGGCTGTTTTTTATACTTTATTGATCCCTTGAGGGGAAATTGCAGAAAATTAGGATAATAATACTATTTTGATTCAAGATGAATTAGTATTTGCAATAAACATTACTTCAGTGGTCATTAAGGTGCATTTCTTTATTAGCATTAACTTTTTAGATGTATTCAACAGCATTAAATTGCTATTTGGATGAATATTCATATTCAATTACCAAGTGTTTGGAGGGTGTAATTTGTACAATTTTTTGATACCGTTAATTAATTTATTTTGTTACCGAGATTTAATAGCCTGCCTGAGAAATTGGGACTGTGGTCCTTTACGTAGGTGGGTGCAGGCTAACACAAAGAAAAGCAACTGGTCCTGTGTGACCATCAAGCTGGCCATTGCAGAGTACTGACCTTGTTATCTTGTCCTTATCATTACTGGACACAATCTCAAACTGCATTCCCATTTTTTTGGTTAACTCATTAAAGAGATATTATAGCAAAATAACAAGCTTGCTACATTTTACCCAGTAAAAGAACTTTTATACTAACAGAAAATGAGCAGACATCTCAAGGAAGACTATATTAACTTTAAACCAGTTAGGCTGCTAAAGTTGAAACTGAGTGACCTTGAGAGGTAATTCCTCCAAGCAAAAGTCAATTTAAAGACACCCAAAATAACCCTAATCCACATCTGTTAGCAGATGGCAATGGGTTTCATTTTCAAGCAGATGGATTTGTAATTGGCACATACGATAGAGATTTGATCTAGCCGAGACAAAGTCCAAACCCTCTAAAAACACTCCCACGTAAACAGAAAGCAGACTGTGTAATATGAAACTGGAATTGAATCTCAGTTGTTCAAGGAGGGTGCCAAGTGTTTAAGACATTTTACACATCATAAGACTTATACATACAGCACATTTTTGTTAGCTGTAAATTAAGAACAGACTCAAGGTGTATTTTTATTAAAAAACAACTCCATTCTTTATAGGGAACTTGGCATTTTCCAGGTTTTTGATATTCATTGAGTCACAACTAGTTATTTGGAGGTAATACAGAGTCCTATAACTTATTGAAGTGGACTCTAATGCTTTCTTGCTTACCTAAAAATATACATTAGTACCAGTAAAGAGAAGATTCAGACTGAAAATTCCATATCCAACACCAAGTGTTGATTTCCAGAATACATGTTCGTTACAGTGACAGAAATTCAAAGAACTCTGCTCTATCAATTAATAACCATATTCTTCTCTCATGCGTTTTGAAAACTTCTAAATTATACTGAGCAGCAAATTAAAAATTATTCATGATAACAATATGCAAATTAATAATATCCTCTGAAACGAAATCCTCTGAAGAATATATATCTGTGTGTACAGTTATGGCTAAATATTTTAAAGCCAGTAAAATTGGAGGACAGATTCCACAAATCCCTTCAGATTTTTCAGACTGCAGAAGCCAACTACTGATTTAAGGGGGAAAAAAGACAAAAACAAGAAACACACGGGAGAAGAGATTGTGTCCATTCACTGCGTCCATGCAACAACCAGATTCAAAGAAATTCTACTACTACATTACATACTAAATTATGCATTTACATTTTAATATTCAAGATTTGTTAGATTTGTTATGTGATCCAAGATTTGTTAGAGGCAGGATAAAATCGCACTTTAGCAGTTTTCAATTTCCATGGATGTATACTATATTTTGTTTGCTTTCAATACACACTAGATTAACGACATCCTTAACTTCTGTCTCGTCAGATATTCAAGGCTGAGCTGATACAGCCTAATTCAATTAAAGTGCTTACATTTAAACCCTGAAACTTCGGGCTGTTAAGTTAAAAACATATTTTAATCAAATGCAGGCCTTGTTTTAATTACCTAGAGAAAATTGTAACAAGAACGTAGATTACTCAGTATTCCGTGGGGAAATTGTTTTGTGTTTTAATCAAAAGAGCTGTATTATTGTGTATACTGTGTCCAAATCAAGCATGTTTAATATTGCATAACACATGTACACGAAACATTACATTGCCCCCACAATTATTTTTTGTATGCGTGTTTTGGAAAGGTACTAAAGCCTATTATTTTCTGAAGAGCACGATTTTCGTCAGACACGTACAGTAGTTGAACAAGCTTGATTGACTTAATCTGCGTGTTTAGAAAACTTAACCTTGTGTTCAGTGCATTATCTATTAGGCTACACGCTACAGCGGTAAAGCTACACATAAACTTCAAGTAATAACCAGTTCTCCTGAAACAAACAAAAAAAACATTTGTCGTGTTATCCATCTCAACCTCTGTGAAGGGCATATCTACTGAAATACGGATATATAAATATACTTATAATTGCACAAGCGTCTTTTTCAATAAAAAATAGGTTACCAAAATAAAAACAAACAATTTTTGCACAAAGTTGCGTGTTTTTCAAGTTATTACTCACCTTTCTTTTCCGCCATACTTTTCCTTTCCACACCAGATCTAACCTGGAAGTACTTCCAAAGTATTAAGGCACATCCTCTAACTCTAATCACATGGGGCGAAATGCAACAAACTGGAAAACGCCACACTAGCTAAGGATTGCTTCGTGTATAGTACGCAGTTTCATATTAATCTTGTGAATACCAATTGTAATTTTTGTAGCTACTGAAATTCGTTCCCAACTGCATAGTATGTTACAAATTTAAAGTAACGGCTGCTGGTCTCTAGGATCCTAACGTACAGGAGTGAGTAAAACTCTTGCGAGAAGAAGCATTTTATTACTGAACTAAATGGAACACATGGAAAAGTTTCGAATGCAGTCGCAGTTTATTGAGATAAAATTGCTACTAAGAAATTATTTTAATTTGTTGCTTAGAATTATATTGGAATATTCAACTAAAATTGCATTCAGGCCACATCGCAATACAATTATTTGTCATGGTAGAATTTAGTATGTTTGAAGAACAATACACGTATATATCAGGTATTTTCGTGAAGAGAAACACCTGTTTATTAATTTGAACAAGTCACACGAGTAAGGATCATTTGCAGTAACTATGATTCATTATTTTTTTCGATATAATTTATATATATATTCCTTATATTGAATGCACATTGTTACATGCACCGCATACATGGGACCTTATTATCTTTTTTGATGACTTATCCTGATTTGACAACACTCCAATAGGACAACACGCCCACATCCTGAGCATGTACCAACAGCTTTGATGCAAGATGAAAATGTGATAAGTACAGTATGCTGGAATTGCCCTATTGGCCAGGCTTGAGGCCCATTGAAATTCGTGGTATGAGCCTGGGAGATGTGTTGCATCTAGACAGAGATTGAGGCATATTCTTTTTGTATGTTAAGGCTCTGTCAGAGGAATGGGACTGATCCTCATACTGTAAAACAGCAGCTGTAACCTGGTGCAAAGCATGCATTGGAGATTAACAGTTTGTGCCACTTCCAGTGCTGACCACACATGCTACTAGCTTGCCACTTTCTTAGTAATAATAATAATAATAATAATAATAATAATTGCTTACACTTATATAGAACTTGAACTTGAACTTGAACTTTATTGCCATATGTAACCAGAACTGGTACAATGGAATTTTTACTTACAGAAAGTCTCTCGATTGTAAAACAAGTGTAAGACTACAAGACAAAGTGCAAACAGTGCATCAAGACAATGTACAAACAAACAATAGACAATGTGCAAGTAAACATGTAGACA